TCAAACTAATGGCCTTATTCATAAAAAATAAAATAGGTTTATAGTGTTCTATAAAGTGACATTTTCATACAAATTTTCGATTTATAAAGCAGTTAAAGTCTTCTTTATTTTTTCTGAATTTGGATGTAAATCTTTTATAAATATCTTTCGATTGACATCCATCCCGTAATATTTCATACAACTTGTGTATAAGTTAACTAAATTCGAATTTTCAAACAGGTGGCAGCCCTCTTCCAAAGTATTTTCAAACTAAAATCTTATTAAATCTCTTTTGGCTGACATTGTGATACACTTATATTTCAATGAAGTTATGATCAATTTTTGAATTTGATTGTTCAAACACGTGGCAGCCCTCCTTAATAAGGTTCGGAAATAAAGAGTTTTCAAACACATTTCGATTGATACCTATCTTTTAATAATTCATACAACTTATTGAATAATTTGAATGTAACTTTAAAACACATGGCAACCCTCGTCAAACTTTTCAAATGTTCAAACGAAAGATTTCTTAATATTCAATCGTTTGACTCCCGTATTTTTATAATTCATATAATTTTTGTATTAGTTAATTAAATTAGACCTTTCAAACGGGTGGCTGCCCTCTTCAAAATATTTTCAAGCTAAAACCTTTTTAACTCTCCCTTGACTCTCTGACATTGCGATACATATTTTTATACCCGAGCGCACTTGTACACAAGGGTATATTAACTTTGTTCACATAACGGTTGTTTGTAACAGCCCAAACGAATCGAGATAGATATAGACAAATGTATACATAAATGCTCAGAATGAATAGAGCAGTCGATTAACCCATGTCTGACTGTCCGTCCGTCCGTCTGTGTACACGATAACTCGAGCAAAAATTGAGCTATCTCAACGAAATTTGGTAAGGTAGGTTGGTATTGAAAATGGGCGAAATCGCACTGTAACCACGCCCACTTCCCATATAACGGTAATTTTTAGAAATACGAATACTGCGATATTTTAGTAACTACTGAAGATAATTTACTCAAAATTGATATTTACAATAATTTTCAGACGAAAAATAAAAATATTATAAATTTTTGGAAAATGTGCCTAGCCACGCCCACTTATGGCTACATGTGTATATCTTGGTAACCACTGCACCAATTTCTTCCAAGCTTGGCACAGTTGTTGGCCTCAGTACAGCATACCAAACCGCCGAAAATTTTTCAAATTTGACAATAATCACGCCTACATCTCATATAACGGTACTTTAGAGAAATACAAAATATTTAATAAATCAGTAAATATTAAAGCTGATTTATTCCAAATTGATGCTTGCAACAATTCTTTACCAATAAATACGTTTATGATAAAATTTTGAAAAATGGGCGGACACCGCCCACTGATGATCACATATATGTATCTCGGTAACCGTTCTACCAATTTGTACCAAACTCGGTATGGTTATTGTGCTTGCCACACAAAAGCCAAACCTTGAAAATTATTGAAATCGGACTAAAATTACGGCCGCTTTTTATATAACGCTAAATTTCAGAAATGCTTGAAACTTCAATATTTCGAAATTTAAGGACGCTAATTTACTCAAAATTGATACACCCCGGCTTACCAAGTAGCGGTAGCTTTCGCAATGGTGATAACATATATTTAACGTTTTAGCCGGGTATTTAATGTTCGGCTCCGCCCGAACTTAGACTTTCTTACTTGTTTTTATTAACATGTGGCAAGCTCGCTAAATAAAGTTCAGAAATAAAGATTTTACAAACCCCCTTCGATTGATATCCATATTTTAATGATATGATTCATTTAACTCAGTAAATAATTGAAATTTAACTTTTTAAACAGGTGGCTACACTCTTCCAACACCTCAAAAATATTCTTGCTATTCAAACTAAAGATTTCTTAACACTCTTTCGTTTGACATCCACATTGTGATATTTCATACAACTTGTGTATAAGTTAACTAAATTCAACATATCAAGTAGGTGGCAACCTTCTTCAAAATATTTTCAAAGTACTACCTTCAGAAACCTCTTTTGTATTTCTCCCATATGGTGATACATATTTCTCTTACCCAATTCTTGCCAACCCTCCTATAGTTAAGTTAAGAAACAAAGCTTTTCAAACCCCTTTCGATTGATACCCGATTTGTAATAACTGATTTGTTTTTTTAAATAATTTGAATATTTTTAAATAATTAGAATTTTTTAAAGGGTGGCAATTTTTTCAAAAAAGTAAAACCTCATTGCACGTCTGCAGGCCAGGCCTTTTAATCTGCCATCTGATCTTGGAAAATCGAAAGAACGGTACGGATATGAGGGCATTGATTAATTAATATTTGGAATTTAATTGTTCAACAGGTGGCAACTCTTTTAGAAAAAATAAGACCAGTTTGCACATCTACAAGCCAAGCGCTTTAATTTGACACCTCATTTTTGAAAGCGAAAGGTGCAGATCTTTTATCCTGAACAAAAAAAACCTTTGCGTATTAAATGTATAGATGGCTCAGATCTGTTTTCATTGTACAAGACAACCACAACACTATGGGAAAAATGTACATATCTTTGCATAAAGTCCAATTTTTTTTTTGGTTTTGTATTTTAAAATTTAACCTTTTTCCTAAATCTAAATATGTATCCCAATTAGTAAAAAAACTTATTCAAATTAAATCCTGATGGGAATACTTTTTTCATTCGAGTGCTTTCAAAGTCAGCTGATTGAAATTTTCGTTGTCTTAGAAGAATTTTGCAGTTAAAATGCAATTCATGCGTTTCACCACATAGATAACTCTTTTCAGAATCCCAAAGTATAGCATCAAAAACAACGAGGTTGGTGCAAGCCCGCCAGATCAGTCATATGGCGGCTATAGGGCTTCGAACCGAACAACACTTCAGAACTCCATAATACAACAACGAAGTTGAGGTAAGTCGGCCGGATCGGGTATATGCGGCTATATGATATACTGCCTCGAGCCGAACAAAATTTGGTAGGTCAACTCAAAACCCTTTAATATATATCTAAATCAAATTTCGGACTGATATCTTCATATCTAGACATAATGTCAAAAATATCAATTTTTTCCCCATAGTACACAGGCTGGTTTTATCGAAACTGTTAAATGGGAATATAAGGTTTACTTTCTTATGGCTTCTACCGCAGACAAGAGCGAGCACTTTCTCCTTTACGTTTTCCCAGCAGATTAAGAATCAATTATTACAATGGCCCTTCTGGCAGAATTGGGATTCCCTTCTTTCCCTATGCAGAGTGGCAGTCAGCGTAACTTAAACAAACCTGTACGGATAGTCCCCGTACCAACAACTTGGTTGCTTGAGTACGTAAGTAGTTCAACAAGAAATTGTCCAATTTTTCAAGCTCAATCAAATTTGAATACTGTCTATCGTGACACGAACTTGTTCTATTTTGCGAATCTTGGCATTGTCCAAACGATTTGAATATTCTTCGAACTTTTAAGCAAGAAGTAGCGTTTTCGTGGGGTTTACGAAAATTATGAGTACGATGAATTCAACAATGGGGTCTACCACATAAATATTTTAACTTCATTACAAATTTATAGACGAAACTGTTTTGATTGACCCAGCGAATTTCTGCTTAGTGCAGCATTGTATATTTTTTCTACTTACACTTAAATATCACATTACTTATCAAGTAATTAGCAATTGTTAATATAAGTAATTTAACTTAATACTGGTTTTCACTATGTGATATTTTGACGCCACAATTTGGCGACATATTTTGACACAACTTTATCTCCTTTATTCATACCTTTACCGATTATATTATGGGCCAAAAACTGACAGATAGCCGATTTCGCAGCGCATGTACACGACTAAAGACCTATCCTAATCCAAATCAATCGAGAAACCGCTTTATGATCCCATTTAACAATGTGTTTTCACTTATTTGACAACAAATGCCTCTGAATTTGACATAGTGAAAGCCCATCTTTAGTTCCCAAGAGGTTAGACAGGTACAATTTTCTTAAATCCAGTACTAGAGTTAAACGATACGATACATTTAAAATGTACAATTTAAATATTAGACAAAAAACTTACAGCGAGGCATTGCTAATACGTGCACAAATTAAATGATTATGAGTGTAAATGTCATTTGATCTATACAAATTAATAGTAGCCTTCATGAATATATTTACGTATGAATATGCACAAAAAATATATAAAGAAAAACACATATGGATACATAATAAAAAAGACGAAATGCATAAAAATAACAAAATGTATGTTATTAATCAGATAATAAATACTTTGTATTATCATATATTGGCTATATAGATATTTTACCTCAAACTTAGGTCAGGAGATGCACAGCGAACCGCAACGCTTGGAATCTGTGGTACCAGGCGCATTGCACAAGCAACTTGATTGCGCCATAATTTTAAATAAAGATCCTTTTGGCTTTCGGTGGGCACTTTCTTAGTTGGCGCTGAGCTGCGCAGTAATGAAGCGCGATTATCACTAACAGGTCTGCAGATAAATGTAATTTATAGTGCGGTACGAACGACCGATTCAAATGAAAGCAACTTACGTGGGATCGATGACGCTGTAAAGTGCTGTCACGCGTGAATAGCAGATGGGCCAAGCCTGCGCAACGGCGGAGGCACACTGCTGCAAAATACGGTTACGTTCCAGAAAACCAAACAACACCATCGACCACGGATCGAACTGTTGCTGCTGATGTGTTGCGCTACCTTGTGACAAGTTCAGAGTCGAAGTTGATGATTTCGACGTGTCTAAAGAAACTAAATTTTAAATTAGCAAATGTTTAAAATTATTAAGGGCATTATTTTACCATCTGTTAACCCCGCCATCCATATACCACTTGTTCGTTCGGCAATCCATTGCAAATCGATTGCATTCGCATTGAGGATCGCAGTCTTCTCTGAAGGTGGCAAATGTGGTAAACACTTCTCAAGTACCTGAAAAAGTTGAATTCCTGTAATGATAGTAATTGCATATTTGTAATAATTGTGACGCACCTGTGGACAGCACTTATCAATTACATCGATCACTGGTGGCTCCGTCTCTGGTATGCCCAGTGCTTTCATAAGATTCTTCACTTCTTTCAAAATCATAGCTGCCAGCTTTCGCAAGAATGGACGATAGTTACAGAGCAGTACCAGAGCAAAACCCTCTACAAAATGTAGCGTGGTAACCAGCGGTATCTCGTTTTTCTTAGCAGCATCTCCAATATTAATGACAGTCGTTTGCGTAATGCTAGACATTCCGCTAGATGTAATGCTGGAAGTGCCACTTGAATTTGTGTTTACGCTTTTCACATTGCTTGCGCTAGAGAGCTGGCTTGTGGCAGTGTCTTTACCCGGACCAGAGCCACTTAAGGCAGTCGCAACTGTTGCGACACCAACACCACCGCCAACTCCAGCAGGAGCATTTACTACTCCGGCACTTGTCATTGAGATTTTAAGCGCATTCGCGCTTGAATTTCCATTGCCATTGACATTTATTGCACAACGCCAAATGTTCAGAAATACGAATAGCATTCGAGTACAATTTTCCAATAACTGCGGATAAGTGTCGGTGACATCGCGCACTAGAAACTGGGTGTACCCGTGCACGACGTCCTGACGCCAATCCGGAAAGTCAATCACCAAAGTTTGCAGCGACTGGTGTGTTAAGATGCGCAACTCTTCGTCCATGTGCACAGTCAACCGCGAGAGCAAGTCTACCAACTCCTGTGGGGTCATCGTCTCTGGTATGAGACGAGGTACTGCAGCGACGCATGTGCGAAATAGATCGATCCGTGGCTTGCGCTCACCAGAGAGCATCTCATCGGGTTCTTTATTCTGATTCTGCGTGTTTGTCATCATTAACGGGCGACCGTAATGCACGTCCAGTGCTCGCAAAATGTCCACAAAAACACGGCGCACATGTGGAAAATAGGTCGACATGCCAATGCTGCGGGCAGTATCGTCGGTTAGCATTTTATTGATGTATGTTTTCTTCACTCGCAATGTATTGCCGGAGGGTAGCACAGGCACAGTGCGTGGCATAGGTGGTTCGCCGTCTTTTTGTTGCAAGGAATCGGCCACAACAAGAAATGCGCGTAGTCCGATGCTCATACGTTCCGGATTTAAAATCAACTAGCACAAAAAGAAAAAAAGAGAATTTGCATACACACACCAACTTGATTTTACAACTCGCTACTGACCTTAATCGAACGTCCCACGCAGAGTAAATCATAAACAATTTCCCGCATGGCAAAATCCAAACGCTCCTGCGCAATGAACTGTATGATTTTCACAAAAATGTTCAGAGGAGTATCACGGGGCACGACACCTTTTGAGCCTCTGTGGGATGATGAAATTAACATGTGTTTTTGAGCACAATCATTTACTTAATAATCGTTTTCAATTGCCACACTTACTTTGGAAATAAGGAGTTTACTATACTTTGTAGTCTTGAATGAGTCGCCGAATTGGATTCACATTTTATCCTTATCATGTATACCCATAATAGACGATAAAGCGACTCCAGTGCTACTCGGCTCATTTTCGCATCACGGTTTTTCAAATTGCTAAGGCACATGGCTAGGAAATAATGCCAATTTGAAAGGAAGAATGTTTTTTGCGACACACAGAGCAAGCATGTGACTAACGGAAATAAAGCTAGACGATGTTTCGATTTCGTCGAAGCATCCAAGGTTTGTACATACAACAGCTCAACGAAATTTTTCACACAAGGAACATTAACCTCATTTTTCACAGCCTGTAAGTGTTAGAAAATAAAAAAGGAACTTAATTTTTGATTTCGTATACAGATTTATTTTATCGCTCATTTACTAAAGGACTGTCACAAATCCAAAAAACGGGATATTTCAAAAGTTGCGTTTAAAGTGGTTGATTTAATTAATTTATTTAGAAAATATTCCTTCCCTTAATTTCCCTTCCCTTAATTCCCTTTATTTAGAAAATATTCATATTCCCTTCTAAGAAAACGTTAACTGTGTACATATGTAAATATGCTTCTATCTATTTTAAAAATAAGAATTTTTTGGGCTATTGTAAATACATGGACGCATTGGCTTCGCTTCGGAAATCAACGATGAACTAACTAATTTAACTTATCAAAATTACATAGCAATAAATATGCTAAATTTCCCTACTGGGTGTGAGACTACAATGATCGTTTACTCACGTTGTTTATATTTATATTTATTTTATAAAAAAATAACCAAACGTAAATATCAACAAAAAATAATATGTTAAAACTTGTCAAAATGTGGTGCGGCTATAATTATATCCACCACTGTATTTAACTAGAATTTTCATTTTGAATTTTGCAGAGCTCTACCATGACCACTTCCAGAGATATGCGATATGAAAAATTCGGTTTGTATCGTAACTTTTTTGTTTTGGACCTTCCGATATATATCGATGTATTTTTTTCGATGCATCGACTTTTCTGTGCACTGTACACTGTACATATTAAAATTATTTTGTATGCTTCCAAACTCTTTGCTCTAGTAACTATTCTAAATGTCGAAATTTCACTATTTATGCACTATTAGAAATACATTCTATTAATATAATGCAAAAGGTATGGGTATGAGTTATTTGCACTAATAAATTGCTAATTTATTAATAGAAACGTTTAGTGCCAAACAACCATCTGCAAAATGATATTAATTGATATATATGATATTGACACTCTAAAACCCTTTGGAAATTTGGGCACATTTTAAACAGCAATTTCCAAAATTGTTTCACATAGCTTATAAACATAGTGAAATAATGGGCACGTTCAGAAGGCGCAACAGCTCAGTAACTGTCGCAATTGTAAAAATTTAATCTATTATTTTAGCTTTTTTTCAATTCTGGCATTATCCTTTGGTTTTGTTGCACACCTGCCCGATTTCGGCTTAGGTCCTTATCCTGAGGGACTGAAAACATCAGTACAGCAACGTTATGTGTGCTTTTGCACAAGCGGCAAGAATTTCTCGACATGTTTTTTTTTTTTTCTCAAATCAAAAAACTTCATAAGTTCTCGCTCAAAAGGGTGTCAAATGAAAGAAAAAATTATGATAATAAATTACCAAATTAGTGCACCGAAGTAGAATCTCATTGCTAGCTCGCACACATTATATTATGCTTATTGTCGTCACTTCAGTACCTTCCGAAAACTTTTTTCACACAACAAAACAAACCAAAAAAACTGGGATTTGTAACTATTTAAATCAATAAATACATTTCACTGTGATTTAATACTTAAACATTTATCGAAGCTCTGATTGTTTAATTTTCTTGTTGTATACTTTTAATTGAAAGAAACTGTAAATATTTTCATTCGATGCATCGAAAATATCGATGCTTTTATACGATATATCGATATGAATCGATGCTAAATATGTTTCGATGCATCAAATGGAAAAAAACAACGATGTATTTTTTTGACTTGCTTTGCGGCGCCTTAAAACACTACTGCTTGCTTCTATATTATTTGAAAAGCTCTCCTACCATAAAATAAATAATAAATAAATGGGTTGGAAACCTACTTTATTTTTATTTAAAGTGGCGTTTTTATTTTTTCTCTCTGACCGCAGGATTTATTTTGAAGGACTTTGTAATTTCAAAGATATGATTAATTCCAAAAATTATTAAAAAAATTCAATGCAATGTAGAATAAAAGTATGGGTAACAAATGCAATAGGAAATTGTTTTAGAATTTAAAAGATTAAAATTTTTTGGATTCACAAGGACGAATAGGTAATTTTTAAGCTGACAAAGTTTGAAGAATGAAATTCGAGGATGTTATCGAGTTTATATAAGCCCTTAACATATAATTTTTTCAAAAACATATATTGCGAGATTTCAAGGATAAAATTTTTAAATGACATTTTCAATATTTACCACCATTTCTGTACCAGAAACCAGTGATCGGACTTAGAAAAATTCTGTGTGGTAGAATCTGGAAAAAAATGTGGTAGATCTCAGGTTTTGGATCAAACTTTGTGCAAAAATTAAAGAAATTCTGTGAGGTTTCACCTAAATTGCAAACTTTTTAATTAGACTCTAAAAACCATTAATTTTAGTATAACAAAGTGCAAGATTGAAGTTGCTAAAAATTGCATTGAGTTTTGGCAACTTTTTTCTTGACAGTGTAAAGCGGTTCCTTCCATATCAAGATAGTTTTCGAACATAAATTTTTTTGCAACCTTGCGGAGTGCTGCCAGCCGATTTCGACAATTCTCAAGTAAATGTAAACAACGCCTCAATAACTTTAGATGTATGTTTTTGAAATTTGCTAATACTTTCACAAAAATCGCGGTTTTTTTATTTTCGCTATTAATTCTTTTTCATGTATTTTAAAATTTAACATAACGAAGCCACGTTTCCTGTCGAAAAATTGATTATTGAGAAAATTTACTATTTTACAGTTTATTTTATCCTCCCATTCTGCTTTGTTTACTTTTACTTGAGTAATTTCATCGCCGCCGGGAATGCGGAATCTTGTATTATATCATTCTTGTTACCATATAGTGTTTAGTGTTGGACAATTTTTGCTCTTAAAATTAAAAAAATTATGTCGAGCAAAAATAAAACTAGGTACTCAAAAACACCAATATGTGGTAGATTTCAGACTTTGTGTGGTAGATCCTCAAAAAAGTGGCAGATAATGTGGTAGAAGTCCGATCACTGCCAGAAACTTGAATCTGTTTAAATTCTACAGGATTTCCTCATTAATTTTATACCCATACTTCTTCTCTAAGCACATTTCTCTGAATTTTTAAATCATTTTTGAATTACTGACGTCAGAGTGAAAAACTAAAAACGCAATTTTACTATATTTTTTTTTTTGTCTATGAATTTACAATTCTTACAGACTAAGCATAGGTAAATTTAAAGGTAATGTTAATTACAATACAAAAAGCAGTCTTTAAATATTTTTACTTAATAATGTTTTTACTTGGGAACTTAGGCCAAATTTAGTGGATAAGAGGTCGAGGTCCAAAGAAACAAAGAGTTTATTCAATTCGACGAGAGTTCTATTAACCGGGGCATTGAAGCTATATACAGTCTTGCTAGTGACAACATAAAACACCTCATAATGACGCAACATTCTACAAGGAACACTGAAATTGATTTTACCTAACAGTACTGGACAATCAACAGTGCCCGAGATTATGTCAAATAGAAAAGAGGTTGATAAAAGTATTCCACTGTTGTGCAGTGTCATTAGGTTAATCAACTGACAGCGAGAGCTATACTCAGGCTTAGGTTCAGAGAAGTGCAGAGAGCGTAGGGCAAACCGGATAAACGCCTTCTGTACAGATTCTAATCGATTTATATGTTTTTGGTGGTAAGGCCTCCAAATGAAAACGGCATACTCTAATATCGAACGGACAAAGGACGAATACAATAGTTTCAAAGTGTGCGGATCTGAAAACGAAGAACTATTGCGCCGTAGAAACGCGAGCATCGAGTAAGATTTAGAGACAACATAATTAACATGTGTAACAAAACTAAATCATCAAAATATACCCCCAGGTCTTTAAACTCATTCACCGAGTCTAGATTTGTTGACGAAACACGATAGGTATTACGGATAGGATTATGAAGCTTAGAAGACGTGATGTGATGGCATTTCTTAAGGTTAAGCGGCAATTTGTTTTTAGTGCACCAAAGGTACAACATATCGAGCTCCGCTTGCAGATAACTTGAGTCTCGAGCATTTTTTATAACCGAGTAGATTTTTAAATCATCCGCATACATTAGGAATTTAGCTGAAAAAAAGCACGATTCTATGTCATTCACAAATAGAATGAAAAGCAGCGGACCCAGTATACTTCCTTGGGGGATACCAGAGGTTGGAACAAATGCGTTAGAAGAAATGTCATCAATAACGACATAGCTTTGTCTACCGTGCAGGTAAGATTCAATCCATCGTAGGAACACAGAGTGAAAGCCCAGCTTGAAAAGTTTGATAAGCATAATTTTATGTGAGATTCTGTCAAAGGCTTTAGAAAAATCGGTATAGATTGTATCAACCTGACAGCCCATTTGAAAGGCAGCAAAACAATCATCCGAGAATACCGCTAGATTGGTTAAAGTCTTCCCGTTACAAAACCGTGCTGATTGATAGAAATTGACTGTCTGAGGTTGAAAAAAATTTTGTTTTTTATGATGCACTCAAGTAACTTAGGTACTGTGGATAATTTTGAAATAGGCTTATAATTTTTGACGTCACATTTATTACCACTTTTGAACGTAGGGGTAATTGAAGTTAACTTCCAATCGGTAGTAACTCTACCCGCGGATAGAGATTTGTTGAAAATTTCTGTCAGTGGCTTAACTAACGGTGGACAGTTTTTGAGTAGGATAACAGAAAATCCATCCGCGTCTGTCTGTGAGGACATTTTTAATTTGTCAATACCCTATAGCGTATCTTCCTCAGTAATAAACAAACAGCCAAAGTTAAAAGATGACTCAGAGGCACAACCATTCGCGGTGTCCGGGTCGACGATATAATCATCATCTACTACGAATTCGACGCAAAGAAATCAGCAAAAAGATTTGCAGCTTCGGAAATTGAGCTAGCTTTTTTGCCATTGTAAAAAACCGACGTGGGGATATTAGAAACACCTTTTTTGACTTTACAAAGCGCCAAAAAATTTTCGGGTTTACTTTAATATTATTTTCAAAATTTTGCACATAACTCTTATATCGCACCTTATTGAGCTTAGAAAATTTATATTTGTATGTAGTATA